CCAAATGTAGGAAAATCTAGCGTTATTAATTCTTTGAAACGTAATAAAGCGTGCAACGTAGGAAATATACCAGGTAATTAATTAAATACTTATAGCCAATTCTTATATCAACTATACTCTTCACTATACTCAAACCATATCATTTGTTTTAGCGATTACATTTTCGAGTTTAATTTTTTTTTAATAAAAAAATTGTTTTATAGTAATTTATAATTAATGAAACATTTATACAATCAAGCCAATTAATTAATATTTGTATACATATTAATCCAATTTATGATTTTTTTTTTAATTTCAGGAATAACGAAAACGATGCAAATTGTTCAATTAGATTCTAAAATAAAATTGTTAGTTTCTCCTGGTATAGTATTCGCTAGTTCGGATGAAAATTCCGATGATACATCTGTAGCTCTAAAAAATGCAGTAAGAATTCAGGCATTGACAGATCCTTTTAAGCCAGCGACTGCAATTTTGAAAAGAGTCTCGCGACAACAGATAATGGAGTTGTACGATATGAAAGATTTTTCAACGCCAGACGAATTTTTTGCCATGAAAGCAGTACATATGGGAAAATATAAGAAAGGTGGAATACCTGATGCGACTGCTGCTGCGCGCGGCATTATCGAAGATTGGAATTCTGGAAAAATCAGGTTTGTTGTATTATACCATTCCAAATCTTTATACAGTGATAATTTCTAATATTTAAAATATTTTTGTTAGATATTATACAGTTCCACCTGAACAGCCGGTATGTCACATATCTGCCGAGATAGTCAATCAAGTAGCTAAAGAATTTGATATTGAAAGTTTTGCTGCGGAAGAAAGAATGATGCTTGATAATTTCACGACACATTCTACAAATAATCCTACCACAGATCCTGTCTTGATCAATAGTACAGGTCCTGTCTCGACGGCAATGGAGATAGAAATACAAAAGGAAGCGGTAAGATATAATATAAGTATTAGAAACGTATGTATCAAATATGGATGATACATTGGATATTTTCGAAATTTGTATGCACTATAAAAATTATTTTGTAATATTTGGCCGATATGTTATTACAGGAATACAAAGTGCAGAAGAAATTGAAAAAGAAATTGCAAGATACGAAGAAGAATAAGTCTACTGAAAGAAAAAAGAAACCAGATCCACTTTTCGAAATTGAAGGCAATCAAAAATTAAATAAACTCAAGAAACTTCAATTCAAGAAGGAAAAAAAAGAACGATTGAGAAGAGGTATTATAGAAAAATAAGAAAAAAGATTAAATATAATATTTAATTTTTTTTAATGCGTTGCTTCTCCATTTTCAGAAAAAGCTACTACCAAGCTAGCGGGACAGCTTGAAGAATTTAAATTTACTTCCGATGATTATGACTTCAATACGGACTTTACAAATACGTAGGTTATTATCATACATATAGTACATGTATCTATGGTTATTAATATTTTTTGTATACATATGTATATATATATACATATGTATATGTATGATGTTTGCATTACATGTATACTGTATAACAATGTGTTGTGAAAATATATCAATTCTAACTAGGATTTTCTTTTTACGCAACCAACACCCATGTTAACTCTTATATTATAGAATAAAAAGAGCCATCTATCTTATATGTCACATGATTTAAAAAAAAATTTCATTTTTTCATCTATGTGCAGTAACTATATATAAAATCTAAAAGTATTTTTTTCATTTCATTAAAGCAGAAAAACAATTAGAAATTAAATTGATATCGGGCATAACCCGATTGGTACAGAGCACCCAATCGTTGCAATTTCGATTGATTAACAGAATGCGACAAGTTGCCAATTCAGTAAGAATAATCGGAAAAAACAAAGAAACCGGAAGTATGAAAGCAAGCGAGGAATTAGTCAATCAGAATTTACGTTTACGCATTATTTTGACCATCAATGATCCGGAAGTAGTGTAATGTCACGAAAGTGATAAGGTGAAATTATGTAATGAATTACAAATAGAATAAAGATTTATTCTCTTTTCTATAAACAATGAAAGCATGAGTTTATTTTTTTTTACATCCCGAGTTCCAGCGATATCCAAAGCTCGGTGTTGGAATCGTTGCATAATAGTTGGTAAATTTTATTCTTCCACGGATCATTCTGAATAAATACAACTTTTATCTGTTTCGCTTGAAAAGTTTTTAATGAAAACTGGAATTTCCGAACGTGAAAAACGTATCAATAGAAATATCAATCAGTTCTCAGTAGTTACTGTTCCTAGAATTAATTACTCGCATGAATTTGACTGGAATATTATTTTAATTTTAGAAAAGGAATCACATTATAATAAAATATTAATTTTGGAGGCGATTTATATATAAAAAGATGATTCTGAATCTAAAATAAAATCATTCCAATCCAATTTGTGTTAGTAATTTAATTTATGTAGCGAAAATACAGAAAGTGAATCAGAGAGTTTTTTAAAATCTACTATTATATATGTTCGTTATTCTACTTTTGAGTTTTCTTTTCGTTTGTCCTACACCTTTTTATAAAAGAATAGTCATCTCAGAAATGATATTCATGAAAAAAAAAAAATTAGAATAAATAAGTAAAACGGTACAGAGCAGGGCTATAGGATATATATCTTCCTATGGCTGAGTTGTTCCACCTTTCCACCTTTCGATAAACTTCAGCTCTATCTTACTCTCTTACCCGTTACTCTTGCCCGTTTCCATCTCTTCGTCTTTTTCTAGTTCTAAAGATTAGACAAAGACGAAGAGTAAGTTGAACCGAGATTAAAATTAATCTACATTGGTAGAAATAGGCGTTACTCTCTTATGTTCTAATTCTTACTCTTTTATTTATTTAATAAATAAATTACTTATAGTGTATCTAAAGATGGAACAATCGCATCTAAATCAAATATTTCTGCTCTCAGTACCAATGATACCCACTCCTAAGCCCGTATTCAGAACGCGTTTTTATCTTTGAAATTCTATAATATGCGTAACGTAAAGTATAGTATGTTAGCGCGCTAACATCATATAAGCGCTTTTGAATACCGGCCTCCGGGAAAAGTTTTTTTTTTCCTTTTCAATAATTTCATATAAATTTTAATATGGAAAGAAATTTACAAAAAATGTAATCATTTAGTAAAATAAAATCGTTATCCGTACTTCTGGTTTCGCTTATAATATATTTGTAATAATTATTATTTGATTGGTTTAAGACAACAAAATTATTTGTAAAAAAAAAATCATCCTGAAATATTAATTTCTAAAGCAGATAAGGATAATGTCACTGTTGCTCAAAATAAACTAGATTACATATCTAAGATGGAATTGATACTTTCAGATAAAAATACATATGAATTGATAACTAAAGATCCTACAAAAAAACTTACGTGTGATTTACGTAACATGCTTAGTAGGTGGAAAGGAAAAGAGTTAATAGATGACTTGACGTATCGGAGGTTGCGTACGACTGATGGGATCATTCCTAGAGCATATGGTTTAACGAAGATACATAAACAAAACTATCCTCTGAGAATCATTGTTTCATTTTTAAATAGCCCATTATATAATCTATCATTGTTTCTGCATAACATCATTACAGATTTTATACCAGAGACTCCTAGTTTTATAAAAAATAGCTTTGACTTAATTAATAAACTTAAGAATGTTAAACTGGACCCAGATTCTATGTTAGTTTCCTTGGATGTGATATCTCTATTTACTAATATACTATAGATTTGGCATCTGATAGTGTGTTTGTAAGGTGGGATGCTATATCCAAGAAGACTAAAATTCCTTTGGACGAATTTTTGATTGCCTTTCGGATGGTTTTAAATTCTATGATTTTTTTTTTAATAAAAAAATATACAAGCAAATATTTGGGATTCCCATGGGTTCACCCTTGTCACCTGTTGTTGCAAATATAGTTATGCAGGACTTTGAAAAAATGGCTATCGGAATGCTGCCTTGTCGACTGCTATTTTATTATCGATACGTTGATGATATTATCTTAGCTGCTCCGTCTGAGAGTATTTGTGATATTTTGGATATTTTTAATTCGTTGCACATTAGATTGCAGTTCACCATGGAGATTGGCCTTGATGGAAAAATAAGTTTTTTAGATACGATGTTGATTATTGAAGAACGGAATCTAATTTTTGATATATATCGTAAAGCAACTTTTTCCGATAGATTTCTTAATTTCCATTCACATTATCCACTTCGTCATAAAAGAGGTGTAATTTATGGAGTTGCGGATAAGATTTTTTGTTTGTGTCATCTGAAATTCCAACAAAATAATTTGATTGACGCTATTAAGATTTTTTTACAGAATGGGTATCCGTTACGTTTTATTTTTTCGACTATTCATAATAGAATTAAATATCACATTAATAAGATTAATAATTTGAATAAGAATAAGGATGACACTGAGAGATTTTTTACGATTCCATATGTTAATACGATATCCGAAAGATTTATACCTATTGTTAATATGTTTAATTGTAAATTGGCTTTTACTATTCCTAACACATTAAGAAGTTTCATAAAGAGAGGAAAGGATGATTTAGAACACGTTCAGAATCAAAATGTGGTCTACAGAATATCTTACGAGGATTGTGATGTCAGTTATGTTGGCCAAACTAAAAGACAATTAAAGACCAGATTGCATGAACATGTTTTTGATATCAATATAAGTTCAAAATCTCCATCAGTGATTTCCAATCATCGTATTGAGGAAAATCATAACTTTAAATGGATATATTAGATATATTAGATATATTAGGTGTAGAGCCTTCATATAATAAAAGAGATAACATTCAAAGCCAATAAATATTGATATCTGAAATGGTCCACATTTAAAAACAGAAGCATGGGATAAATAAACAAAATGACATGGAGTCTTTGCCGGAATTGTATTCTAACATTATACATTCTCTTTCTCCTTCCTAACATCTTCTCTTATCTTTCCCCCTATTTTTCCGTTTTTCGTTCTCGATAATTTTTCTGCTTGACATTTCGTTATTTGACATCGTGTAAGTCAGATGCTTGTTACCTTTGCGAATTTGAATAACTTATAAAATAAAAAGACTATTATATATTGTGCCACGAAATGGACTACAGTCTACATTTTTTTCTCGTTGTGTAATATTGGATTCTTAACAGATTTACTAAGGTACATTATCATATTACTAATTTTTATGTAATTAATATTAATTTTTTTTGTTCACGATTACTTTTCCAGAATTTTCTTATGACTTTGTTAATTCTTGATAAAAATGATTCGCAGCGTATTACACAGAAAGAAAAATTTTATATTAAGGAATTGTAAGAATATTGTAAGACCATGTACGGATTTTTAATTTAAAACGATGTTTATATTATTGTAAGATGGCATTGAAAATGATTCGATTGTTGAACCGTTTGTTTACTTTAATTGTTTATTTATATAAATTAAAATTTTTTTATACGTTATTGGCTCTTTGCCCTTCTTTTATACTATCTTTTGTTATAAGTACAGAGCCTTTTTAATACTTTTAATTTTGTAATAATCGTCGTTAATAATATAGATATATTAAATACCCTAAAATTAATTCGTTGAATAACTAACTCTATAAAAAAATAACTAATATATTAATTATAACTAAAGTTTGAAAATTTAGTATTATGTAACGATTTATTACATTATCATTTGTAATAACGTTAAAACTTCTGTTAAATAATGTATTTTAAAAATATCACCAAATTTTTCATTAGATCAAAAATTCAATCTATCTACAATTTTAATTAATTAACGAGCGTTAATCGGCATAATTTAATCATATAGACAATTTATTTAATATAATTGTATTTTTTATTATTGTATTATTTTATCTGACTTAATTAAGATTTATATTCAAGCATCAATGCTATCATTTTTGTCAATTGCAATTACCAATGAGAATATAAGCCTTTATGCTGGATGTATTTACGAAATGAAAACAATTATAATTTATAAATGGACGTTTCAATTCTACATAATTTTATCTGGTCATCATCAGTATTCTTATCTAATATAAATCAATTTACATCAAATCATTATCTAATTTAAGTTATTGATATGAATTTCTCTATAATTAAAATATTCGCATTTTAATTGTAATTTTTTTCATAGCAAACGTTACATTCGTTATATTCAAGCATTTACATTTTATTGACAATATTTATTTATCGTCTTTATCACTTCGTTTGTTTTGATTGACCTCATCAACATTCTCTTTAAATGTAATTTAGTATTTGTGAGAACTTTAATAAAGAAAGCTATTTCATAGCGATATACTTCTTTTTTTGTAAAAAATCGATATTTGGCAGATTGATCCGGAGATCGCACACACATCTCTAAAATATACTGAAAATATTTATTGATTATGTAACTTATGTTGAAACATTACTTTTTGAACATGAAAAGTGCAATAAATTATTGACATTTTGCAACTTCATATCAGACTGAAGTTTAAAAAAAATTTTTTTTCAAGGAAGTAGTTTTTATTTTTTTTTTTAAATAGTTTTCGAATGATATCAGTATTTCTGTCACTTTTTGCTTAATGTCTTTGTTTTAATTGTTTTGTTTTGATTGTTTTAATTTATATTGCCAAAGTAATATAAAAGTTATATATTTTTATATTAAATTTTGTTATATCAACCGAATAATCATTATTTCATTATTGGTGTACGTAAATTATCTCTAGTTTTTCATACTCGATTTCTATTATGTATTTTATAACGTTATCAGTTTTTTATGTTCTTATCAATATCTCTACTTAATTAAATCTAAGAATCTTATCATCCGGATTTATGTACGGAGTCCTAAGTACTGCTCGCCACATCAGAAACCAACAGCAAAAAGAGATGCTAGATTCGAAGAATTTTTAATGAAAAACTTAATGAACGAAAACGAATATTTTCCTAGTAATTAAATACAAGACATTTAAATTATGAGTAAAAAATTTTCTTAATATGATCCGATAGAATCCAAATGACATATACAAAAATTACATGATGCACTTAATACTGTAACCTGGAAAAAAATCTTACAAATCTTTTGATCACATCAATATAAGTTTGACTGTTTAGATGTTAAAATATAGAAAAAGTGCATTTTCTTTAAAATGTTCTTTAAATTTTCAACGTCGTTGTTTGAAAGTAGAATAATTGCAATGAATAAATATAATACATACGAATTATTTCGAAAATAGTTTGCTTCAGTTATTGAATTTGATTATTGGAATTGTATGTATTTTATTAGCGTGGTTAAGCAGTAAACTTATGATATTATTATAAAATGAGTAGTATTACGTATACATATGTGCCCAACATATAAATAATGTTAATGTACACAAGAGAAGTGGAACGAGGATTGCACATGCACTGTGATAATGACTAAATAAGTGCTCTAGCACTGTATGTATCAAGTATTTGTCATATGATTGATGCGAGTTAACTATTACATGAGAAATGTACATAGACTATTATTATAATACGACTATACATTGTTATAAAAGTAAACTGAGTTACTGTACTTATAATATATTTACAATTAGTTTTTTTTAAAAGGTAAAGTTATGCTTTCCGTTCCTGTTTATTGTTATGGTTTAGTTTTTATTACTTACATTTATTATTTACATTGTTATGGTTCAGTTCTATTATTCATTTACATTTAAATTAGTTTTTCATTTTTCTCTTCTCTACAAACAATTACAATTTTATAACATTGTAGTTATCACACGAAGATTATCTTTTGAAAATCTACACAATTTTAAATTTAGATAAACAAATTTAATTTAGATAAAACGAATGTAGAAAAAAGTCATATATGCAAACAAAATAGATAGCAAAGAAACGATAACACACATATATATATATATATATATATACGATAACATATATTATTACGACAGTACTGCATCTGTTATTCGTGAAGTAGTACAGTGAGCACACCCTACTAAATAAAATCACATCACACAGTTGCATGATGAAATCATGTAAATCATATAATGGATTGTTCCAAATTAGTGATTTTTTAAAAGTAAATTATACGTAATTTGAAAAGTCACATGATGATATGTTCTTTTTTCTTTTATTTCTATCTTCAATTCTTTAAAATTCGGTAACTATAAAATCACATGATTAATAAAATTATTTCTAATACTTCATGTGATTTTTCAAATTGCGTCGTTTAAAAAAATTACGTACTGACTTGCAACAATTTGTTTCACGATTTATATGTTTTAATTACATGATTTCATTATGTAATGTTGTGACATAATTTTTTTCAGTAGGGCATTGTTGCAGTTGATAATAAAGCCAATTCATTCAATCGACTGTAGCCATCTAGTGAGCAACGGACAGAGGTCAGCGCATTATTAATGTTAAAGATCAACCGTTTCTGCAACGTTTGAACAAAGTGCAGTGCTTAGAATTGTACACATAGAAAATAAGCATCGGAATCATCAGAGAAGATTTATAGAAGGAAATAGATAAAATGTTGCGCGTTAAACCGTTGGGTCAGCCACCTAAAGTTTGGCAAGTGATAGAAAAGAAGAATAAGGACGGGAAGCTAATGAAATTCACGATTCAGGAGATTCCCGAGGATCGGTACGAGGACGCGATTCAACACATGTGCACATACTTTTTAGTCGATGAACCAACTTGTAAATGTTTCAGTAAGTTTTATCAATTATCAATTGAAAATAATAATAATTATAAAATGTTCTCATTTACTATTTGTAAATTTAATTGTAAGATAAAAGAAGCTACACTGTTGTAATCAGATATGTAACCACGAGCTTCCTTTACATGTAAATGAAGCTCATAGTTATGGACGAAATTAAAAGTAATAAATGATTTAACTGAAAATTAAGTTACAGCAATTATTTAAATGTAATAAACATGTACATTAAATTTATGAAATTTTAATGTACTTTTAATAAAATTTTATGAAAAGTACATTAAATTTCATAAATTTTCATGAAAAATACATTAAATTTTATGTATTTGTACACAAATATACTTTTTAGTTATAAATACATTAAATTTAATGTAATGTCATTATGTAATGAAATTAAGTTCAAATTGTGTAACTTAAAATTTAATGAAATTTAAGAACATTTCTAACAATGTATAATTAGAATAAGTCAAAATTTCTCTCTCTCTCTCTCTCTCTCTCTCTCTCTCTCTTCCTCCTCTTTCTCAGATTGTTTTTATTTTTAGAATGATTCCTAATGGAAAAAAATTATTATTTTTTATACAATTACTCATTATACCTGTTTTTCACTTCTTACTCTATATTATTTGTAGATGCAAAAAATGACCCTCTATTTATACAAGATATAACTTCGCTATGGCGTCCATTATTCGCAGAAGACATATCTGTAGCTGCATTCATCGACAATCCCAATGGTGGCAAACCCATAATCGCCGGTATGAATATTTTGGGCATCGAGGTTAAAAACAAAAAAAAGAAATTGCCCGATTATCAGGTTAGCTACATTAAACTTTGTTAGTAAATTTGATTACTGTATTCGAATTCACACATTCTATTGTGCGAGTTCTATTACAAGAACTTATAAATGCATACAGAGTGTTTCCAAACATTTATGATAAATATAAGGATACTGGATTAAATCATCAATTGAATAATTTTTGTTAAGTAATCTGTATCTCCTAGACTCTGTCGAATATGTGCCTTGATTTTTTCTTACGGGACGTATGCCAATAGTTTAGTGTACGTGCAGATGTGCATTCTTATTGGCATTCAAAATGAGCTCATCAATGGAATATGTCATGTGATTCGCAATAATTCTAGTAGGATTTACCTGAGTACGTTAATAAATGCCCCATAGATGTAATGTAATACTTGTATAACAAGCAAGTTATTATTTTAAATATTTGTACTAAAATAAACAAAATAAAAAATCAAGAAATATATAATTTTTAAAATTCTATTCTAATTCCTTTAGAAATCAGACAGTGTTCAAGACTAAAAACTGACACCTAACATCTTAAAAATACATTGTTGAACACAGATTACTTAACAAAAGTTATGATTTATCAGCATATAAATATTTATTCATCATATAATGATCGTTAAATGTTTTAATTTCTTATTCGTATTTTTATTTTTATTTCTTTTCGCTTTTTGTCGTAACATTGTTTAAAGGAGCTTTTTTCTATACATTAAGTATTAATTATATGATTGATAATATATAATAAAATTGTTTCAGTTTAAATCAGAGAAATTGAAAATTATACATGAACTTATATCTCTAACGAATATGGTATTCGAACGTTACGAAGTTGACAAGTATATAACTGCTGCTGGACTTAGCGTCAACCCCGATTATCGAGGATACGGATTAGGCAAGGAAATACTAAAAGTCAGGTATAACTTACTAAGATATTAGTTCGCATATGAAGAAAAGATTAAGTTATTGATTCTTCGCAATTTTACACACATGCCACAGTTCACATGGTACAAAAAAATTTTTTAAAAATTGCATAAATCTCTTTTAGAATAAAGTAGAATTTCAATTTTTTCTAATAAATCTTGCATTCAAAATCTTACATCTAAATCATTTGTAATACTTGATTTCCATTAATTTAATATCTATCATATTAATCAGATTTTATAACTTACAAAAAAATTTCTATCTAGAGATTTAATCGGATCTACGTATGGGGTGCCAGCAACAGCCACTGCGTTCACATCGATAATTTCGCAGAAGTCAGCAACGGGTGCGGGATTCGAAGAATTCTTCACAAAAAATTTCGCTGATGTAGTGGACAAGGACGGAAAAGAATGTTATCCTAATATTAATTCCAAAGCATACAAAATCATGGGTAAACTATTCATATAGTTCAATAGACGAGCGATATTTATAAATAAAGAGATGCATAAATTAAAACTTAATTTGTAAATTGGAATAAATTTATGCAAATTACGTAAAATTTATCTAATTCAAACTGGCCAAAAATATTCTTCAATGTTACCGCAAGGCACGCTGAAACGAATAAAGAAATTGCTTTATTATCAGCGCATTAATATCGGCTTCCTGTCATAATGCAGACAAATTTAATTTCTGTTCCGATAAACATGCATCCGCGGTATTCAGATATGTTTATCTATTTATAATAGATAACATTTTATATATTTTCTCTACATATAAGGCGAAATGTGGATGATTGTATGTAACTCGTCGATAAAATTTTATCGAATATCATGTATCATCCTCTAATAAAATATTTAATTATTGGTTGAAGTACTTTTTTCAAGTATGATGCGATGAGTAATGTGATATTTATTATAACTTATTGTTTTCCGTCGATTCGACCTTTGTCAATTTAAAGGTTTGTTAGATTTATTCGTCATTCCAAATGGCTTAAACGGAGTTCAATCAAATTTATACATAATATGTATTAAAAAGTTATTAATTGTGAATATTAATATTGTCCAAAGTTTCATGACAGGATTTGGCGATCGTGTGATTACACTATAGTTTTGGCAAACTGTAAGTGATTCTATCTTGATCGTTCGCGAAATCTAGTATGGAATTACGAATATTACTGATGAAGATTCCAAAGAGAATCGAAATGTCAAAAAAAAAAATCAATGATTTATCAAGATTTTAAATAAAGAAGACATCAAATGGAGTAACAAATTTATTTGTTAAAATTTTATTTTTCGCACCTCCGCTCACGCTGATTCTTATTAGCTCAGACTAACTTTCTTTTTCAGATAGCCAGATGATGATCTGGTGCAATGGCAGTGCCTAACCATTTAATTGATGTTATACAAGATATCATTTTAAAAACTTTAATGGTCTAGCTAGATCTTAATGCTTGTATGTGTCTTATGTAAATTTATATACTGTACTAAACTACCGCAGTAATATCACGAGTTAAATTGATTGTTAAATTGCTAGTCAATTTAACTCGTGATATTACTGCGGTAGTTTAGTAGCGTTAGCGTTTCAAGAAAAATCATTTCGACGTGCGTTTCTAGGGACTACATACGTAGTATAGAAATTCACATAAGAATCATACAAGCATTAAGATCCAGCTAGTCCGTTTAAGGCTTTGATTTCTATAATTGTGTTATCACATATACGGTCTTTTAATATATTTTATTGTATATCACATTACAGTTTGATTGGTTTCATAAACCGACGTTCTCGGGTAGAACCGGTTCCAGTATCTTTGGTGCCCTATGCAAGATTTTTAAAAGTGGAATCTTTATTATCTCTCATTCATATATATATTATAATAATATATCAATATATACTAATAACAAAATTTCGAATATAATTAATATTGATATAAAATATCAATATATGTATTTATTTGCAAAGCATGACGGTGTTTGTATTATAAATTATGTATACTAAACAATTTTTCTTGAATAGAATAAATTGTTCTGTATTTTCATTCTGAATAATTAAACATAAATTGCAAAATTTACAAAACAAATATAATATATCTTACATATCTTATACGCACATATGTAAATGCAAATTGAAAGATACAATTTCGCGTGAGGGCAAGATCTCGCTTTCGAACAAAAATAATTGAAAGCTCACCGAACTACGAACAGTAAAAAGTTATCCTCACGTTTCTCGCTGCGCGTATGTCTATTGTCCAAGTTCTTACGATTTCACTGTTTGTTTTCTTTTGTTGCATCATGCATATGTTAATGTTTTGAAAAAATTAAAATTAAAATTTTACACATGCACATACCTTGATAGGAATGAATTGAATATTGTTTACAAATCTTACATTTGTTTACCATACTTTTTGATAATGTATACTCCAATAGGAAGAGAATTCTTTAAGAAGAATCGTTTCACTTAAATGCAATCGTTGAGGAATTATCATGACGAAAGGTATTTAAAATCTAGCGTTTCATTTACGTATGTTGTTTAATTCGTTGAAAATGACTGGAAATCAATTGAAATGTTTGAAAATGTGAAATTATTGTTTATACCCTAACAACACATGACATCCTGTGTATCATCCTATTTTTCTACTGATTATACTGTGATCCTCTCGAATGACTCTAACAAACTGAGATTAACGCAATAATATTTCGTACAGTATCATTCTGTTTCTTTTCGCATACGTATAAACTCAGGTTTGACGCCAAGTACGGAAACGGTATGTATCATTTTTAATAAACTGAGATTAACGCTATAATGAATGCGTTCCGAGTTATGCATGAAGCGCATGTTGTATCGTCATGTATCATACACTGTATCTTTCTTTATTAATTGATAAACAATAAGGACAAATGAAGCATCATGCGCTTCATACATAACTCAGAACACACGACCCAATATCCCGCATAGTATCACTCCGTTTTCTTTCGCACGCATACATTCTCAAATTTAACTCAATACGAGATACCGTGAGCGTATAATCGCAGGTGTGACATTAGATATGGAAATAGTATGTATACCTACACTATCTGTATACACAATTCCTCTTCTCATTTCAAGCAGAGAGAAACCTGAAAGAGGCCATGCCGGCCTTTTTTCTGTTACCGTCGAAATCGCCCGTACATCCCTTTTCAGTTTGGAAACTATGTGATATACATTTTCTGACATTATCAATAAAATCATATCGTTGAAATATAGTTCATCTCTGTACTAAAACCTCAGGATAGAAATGTGCCGATTATCCAGGAAGGATTTTTAATGAATCCTTGAACGAAAAAGTTTTAATTTCGCATCTCCTATACATGTAAATAAAAATTATTGAATTTTAATAAACGAACTTGGAAATTCAAACAAGTTAATTTAGTGAATTTTGTCTTATATAATATTTATTTTATAATATTTTATAAAATTACGAAGTTATGTTTCTTTATGTAAATTTTTAGCTCGTTTTTATCAAACATAATTACTAGTATATATCAAAGTCTCTAGCAATTAGAAAGATTTTTAATAGAAGACTGTAATTACTAGCAATTAGAAAGACTTTTAATAAATTCAATCTCTTCTAAACATATATTTAAGATATAATTTAGCAAAAACGAGTTATAGTGGTCCTCCACCACCCCCGCCAATTTTATCGGCGGTCCTCTTTTCTTTGTAAGTATATTCACTTATAAAACAAAACGAACTAATAAATTTAATAGCTCATTTTTGCAGGTAAGTTTATCTTTAATTAATTTTTTTATTTTTATGTCTAATTATTCTATCGTATTTTGCTAATGAAATTGCAATAACTTTTTAAATATTATTTATTATTGTATTATCCTTTATACAATTCGATATTACAATTATAATACAATTATTATTTATAATACAATATACAATTATCAATACTGTTCAAAATATAATAAAAATGATAATATAGAAACATAATTAAATTTTAGTAATGCGGGATTATACGAAAACGTAGAAAATATGTATGATAACACAAATTTTTCTAAACCAATGTTTAATATTGATAAATGCAGAACAAATATTAACAACAATTAGATCGTATTAACTATTAATTCTTAATTTGCGAATATAAAACTTAACAATATCGCAATAAAAAGTCATTAATATATTTATAACAGCACTTTCATTGTGTTCAAGATAACTATAAACTCAATAATTTCATCATATCAAAATCCATCTGCTTTGTAGTACGCTGGTTAGTATCCGATACAAAGAAGAACAATCTTTGTAATGGAGAGCGAACTTAATGTATTCTGATTCTATGTCAAATTCATAAGATCCATTTGCAAAGAAAAGTTAAGCATCTGTCAAATACCAGTAATCTTGTTACAGAAGGGTGTGCATTTCGAATATTTCAGACTATACTTACGATAGTAATAATTTTAGTAGCATGTCAATGACAATTACTATTTTTATCATATCTTTAATATAACATTAAAATCCGTGAGAAAATATGTTCTGCCACATCACTAAAAATCATTTCTTATTAAAAATAAACGGATAATAATTTCTTTATGAAATAGTGGTTATGAAAGAATATATTTAATAATAATAAAATACATGCGTTATTGTAATTTTTTATATGTATGGATATAAAAATTTTTTGGGTACCAACTGTTCGAGATAAGCCGAATCCGATAAAAACTGAGTTTTAAAGAACTATACTTTTATACTGAAAAATTTATTATAAAAAATTTAACAATTTTTATTTTTCCGTATTTTTCAAAAATTTTAATTATTAATATCTCTATGAGGGTATTCATTCGACTTATCTCGAACTTTTGTACTCACACATTTTTAATTAAATTCATGTAATCACACATTAACATTGTTAAAAGACTATAAAATGTTTTGATAAAAATTATCTAAGTCGACAAAGATCAAAATTTGTTAAATATAATCTCATAATATCTGCATGTATTTTATCATAGAAAAGTATATATGTATACATATAAATTAATAATTAATAATATTCTGCAATTGCGGGATGTCCAATACCTAAAAATGATTTTAAAAATAACAGTTAGAAAATGAAATATATACATTCGTAACCATATTTTTGTTAGAGCGATCATAAAAAAAATAAGCAAATTTTGTGTATAAAACTTAAACTTATTTATTTAATAATGTGGCTTTAAACAATAATCATTGTATATTAATTATACAATATTAATTTCCTATTGTTAAATTAAGACAATAATATTACTAACATTATTATTAGTGGGAGAACATTTAATAAAATAAAGAAAGTGCTGAAAATTATATGCTAAAATAATTTCGCCGAGGAATAACTCTCTATAATGAAAATAATTTTGACTTTTCATCGATACAAATCACGCAATCACTAGCATCCATCTGACGCGAGAGACAGCAATGACCTTTACATAATAAATTGATCACTAAAATATACTTGCAATTCTATAATGTTACCAATGTAAATGTCAAAAAGCAAGCAAGAAATAATTATTTAACCATTGTCTCAGTCAAAGTTCCAATTCTTCATGACTTATTTAAATAAATTTGTATATACTAATAAATGCGAAACAAAATTGATGATTATTCTAAACATCAAATTTTTAATTAGAAG